AGATTTTCCACAGTATACATATTGTCTTTCATAAAAGAATTACTGTCTTTCATCTTCTAATCCTTACATTTAGACTTTCTTTTATATAGTATGTGAAATTCCAATACTTGGATGGCAAGAGATCTAAAAGGTAGTATTCTGACTAGAGTGTGGAATGTAGTTATAAGAATGCTAAATACTATTGATATTTGCAAAACTAGGCAAGTAGGATGTCCAAAGGATGCTGGTCTGTCAGCAAGTAGTGGATCCCAACCCCTGGGCTGGGATTCACAAGGCAAAACCCTGTCATCAGGACTGTAAAACTGAGGCACTGTTTAAATTGTAAAGATTTTGGCTCAGAGATGTAAGTCAAGAAGCTGTGTTAGTGCAAGGCTAATGAGCAAGCAATGAACAAGCCTTAGTGCTGGCTGAGAGCACAACTCCTTCCTGACTCAGATAAGAATTGGTTGAAGGATAGGGCCAAGCTGAGTCTATAACTGGAGGTTAGGTGGCCAAAATCACAGAACAAGTTGGGGAAGTAGCCACTTTCTGGAGATAGATTAAGAGATTAAGCACAGGTGAGTCTCCATCTAGTGCCTTTGAGAGCCATTTACTTTCTTTGTCACCCCATCCTGTATTCAGCTGCCATACATCTTTTCACTCTTTAGTTTTCAGGTTTGAGAAATTTTTGTTGTTTATTTGGGGTTTGTTTTTTTATTTTTAAGCAGAAATTGTCAGTCAACAAAGCAGCCTAAAATCCTTCCTTTGTTAAAAATCTTATATTAAATGTAACAATTCGTAATGGTTATGAGAGAATAATTTTGATAGCATGATTATTTTATGGGGACTCCTTGCCAAAGAATTTTTATCCTTGCAGACTTTAAATTAATTAATTTGTAAGGCCTTGACTGAACTGAATCATTCAGAATTCCAAGAGATAAACGTCAGAGTTTTTTTTTTTTTTAAACAATGTTGCTTTTATTTTAACATGAGATTGCATTAGATAATAATTACAAATTATTGTAAGTGAGACTGAGTTCTTGATTTGGCTCTCAGCTTGAATGTTATTGGTATACAGAAATGCTGCTAATTTTTATACATTGATTTTGTATACTGATACTACTGAAGTCATTTATCAGTTCTCTTGGCAGTGTCTTTAGGGTTTTCTAGGTATAGAAGCAAATCATCATCAAAGAGAGACAGTATGACTTCTTTTCCTATTTGAATGCTTTTTCTTTCTTTCTCCTGCTTGACTGCTCTGGCTAGAATTTCCAGTGCTATGTTGAATAAGAGTGGTGAGAGCGGGCACCCTTGTCTTGTTCTGGTTCTCAAGGGAAATGCACCCATCTTTTGCCATTTCAGGATGGTGTTGGTTGTGGGTTTGTCATCGATGACTGTTATTATTTTGAGACATGTTCCTTATATGCCTAGTTTATTGAGGGTTTTTATCATAAAGGGATGTTGGATTTTATCAAAAACTTTTTCTGCATCTATTGAGATGAAAATAAGTTATTTGTTTTTATTTCTGTTTACGTGCAAAAACAGAAAATTAAACATTGGGTACACAGAGACATGAAGATGGGAACAATAGACACTGGGGAGGGAGAGGGGCAGGGATTGAAAAATTACCTACCTGTATTGAATGCTGCTATACACTGTAGAGTACAGTATTGGTTGATTAAGCTCATGATCATGTGTCTGACTGGCAGCTGTGGCAGCTGCCTGGCATCATGAGAGACTATTGTACCAAATACCACTAGTCCAGAAAAGGGTCAAAATTCAAAATTTTGAGTACAGTTTCTACTGAGTACATATCGTTTTCACTCCATCATAAAGTCAAAAAATTTTAAATCGAACTATCCTAAGTCAGGGACCCTCTGTAAAATCACCGCCTGCACTAGCTCACTCCTTACCCTCCTTACCTGCTCTGTCAGCAACATCAGTATCTCCTGGGGGAATGGTGGCAACTACAAATGCTCAGACTTCTGAGTCAGTAAGACTCGGAGTAGGGCCTAGCATTCTGTGTTTTAACAAGCCCTACAGGAAATTCTGATACATAGTAAAATTTGAAAGCCATCAAGGGAGAACCATCACACACTTTAAACTCATTCCTTTTGTTTGTTGTTTCTATTGATATGATTACTTCCTGAGACTAGAATGGTCTAAAACTGCAATACCATCCTCTCCGGAGGAATAGTTAATCACACTCACTTTTTTCCTACATGAAGAGAGAATTGTTAGATGATAATTGTCCTGGAACCTTTTTTTGTTTTTACCTTTATATAATACACCTCACCAAAATATTTGATAATTGTAATGATTATTATCTGATTATTTAAAAAATAGTAACTTTGAATCTAACTTTGGGGTTAGATTCAGAATGAATTTAGTAAAAGTCCTCCCCCCTTAATATAAGTGTGACCTTAAGAAAATTATTTAACCTTTTTGAGTTTTAGTTCCCAATGCAATAAAATAGGCATTATACTTTCCTATGAAATTTGTTGTGTGGATTAACAGTGAAGGTATATATAGAACATTCAGTACCAACCCTGGATTAAATGTTCGGTGAAGAGTATCCATTGTTATTATAACTTATTTTAGGTTTCTGAGGTAAGAGTCTCAGGCATTTCTTGAAAAAGAAAATTTTTTTTTTGGACACTGAGTTTTACTCTGTCACCCAGGCAGGAGTGCAGTGGTGTGATCACAGCTCACTGCAGTCTCAACCTCCTGGACTTAAGCCATTCTCCTGCCTCAGCCTTCCTAGTACCTGGGATTACAAGCACTTGCCACCATGCCCAGCTAATACTTAAGACAAGGGTCTCATTATGTTGCTCAGGCTGGTCTCAAAATTCTGGCTCTAAGCAATTGTCCTGCCTCAGCCTCCAAAAGTGCTGGAATTACAGGTGTGAGCCACTACACCAGACCCTTGAAATTTTTTTATTAATTAAAAGAACTGTTTAAAGTGACAGCTGATCAGAAAAGATTTTAAAAGGCAAATATTTTTCAAAACTTTACACTTATATGAACATTAAATGTTATAAATTACAAACCTTTACTTTTAATAATAATATAGTATTTATTATGTTATTCTTAAATATCTAATATTTATCAGGTTCTCACTATGTTCAGGCACCATGTTAAAAGCTTTAACAAGTATATTTACATTCAGCCACATAAAATAGAAGTGTAGCTTGAAACTTATAAGTCTTAATGAAAGAATTAAATCAGTTTTTTAAAGTGTAAATACTGCTTTCAAGGGAAAAATTTAAATGTAAAAAATGTTTATATATTTCTGAGGGGGTCAGAGAAGAAGATATCTCTTATTCTTAGAATTATGTTAGATCCACAATCCTTCATAAATGTTCTTTTCATTAGTTATCAACTGAAGTTTAAAAATGTGTCAAATTGATTTCATCTCTACTATGTTATAGCAAGACTTTAAAAGAGTTGCCTGTAATTTCTACAATCTGGTTACATATGTTATGATAATAACAACATGGCATTCTTTTAAAGACCGTGTACTATGATAGGGAGAAAGTCACTGCTCATAAATGAAAGGCAGTATATTTCACACATTAATCAGATTAAATATGCAAAAAAAGTGATTTAAGCAGTTTCAGTTTCCATCTCCCTCAAAAAACTGGATGTCATGAAATAATAAATTACTAGTAATTTTATCTTCTTATTTTCTCCAAGAAAAGCAAAGTTTTCTCTCTCCTGGTACAAAAAACAAAAAACAAAACAAAACAAAACAAAAAAAGCATTTCAGATGAAAAACAACTGATTCTCTAAGGGCTTTAAAACCAAATTCCCACCTACATTTCCCAGCTCATACTGGACTTAGCCCATTTCTTGCATCAATGCTGGGCCTCCCAGAAGGCCTGTCAGTATACTGTAGGCACTGATTGATGCCATTAACAAAATATATTTCTGATATTTGTGTGGCCCTCTACAATTCTTAGCACACTTTTTTTTTTCTGTAGTATCACATCTTATTGACTCTTTTACAGATGAAGGAAATCCAGTTTAGAGAGGACAAGTAACTTGTGTGGTATCCCAGCCCTAGTAAATGACTAGAACACTGAGTTCTAGTTGTCCTGTCCAGATTTATTTCAAACACTGAAGAGTAGCTTTGTGGGGAGTGGGGAGGGTGTGTGTGTGGGTGTGTAGCTCAGAAAGCAGACAAGTACGAAGGAGGGGGCAGTGGCCAAAATATATTCACACAGCCAAAACAGATGTAGGGAATTTGAGAAATGTACTGTTTTGGCTGGACATTTTGCTTCCCTGAATAAAATTAATTGTCTGTTACTAAGAAAGAATGGGAGGATGAATTATTATATGAACAATTAGCATTTCTATTGCATTAAGAAGGATTTCGCTATGCTCTCTCTCTCTCTCTCTCTCTCTCTCACACACACACACACACACACACACACTTGAATATATAAACATGAGCAGACTAATTAGAACTTCAGAGCTTCCTTTGTGACTGCTCTTTACAGCTAAAGAGCTATCAGTTTATAAGTAAAGTTCTATACTTATGAACAACCAGACCAAGAGGAAGAACAGTGCCAAATTCTTTTCCTTACTCCTATTATTTTTCTGTTCACATAGTAAATGTTTAAATAAGTATTTCTACTACTGCCATTGGAAAAAATATTTTTTGAATTTAGACACAGTAAAGCAATCGTTATTTTATTTTAGTCCCATATAGTAATCTAATATGATCAGAGCTTTAACTTGTCCTTAGCTATCTGGCATGATCATATTTACATTACTCTATACTTTTAATTAATGGTTCCTCAAAACGGCATACTGAGAAACAGATGTACTTGTTTTAATCTTGACAATTCATAAACAACATTTGTTATTCCTTTAGGCTGACCATTATGAGAATCAGTGAAATAAGGCCTGTCCTATCACAAAGTGTAGGGATTGTATTCAGCGTGTTTATTATATGGTACAGAAAATTAACTTAACTTATTTTCATTTTTTCCCACCTTTGTCTGACTGCTCTACAGGCTGTATATTGATGGTCCTTTTGGAAGTCCGTTTGAGGAATCACTGAACTATGAGATCAGCCTCTGTGTGGCTGGAGGCATTGGAGTAACTCCATTTGCATCAATACTCAACACCCTGCTGTATGTCATTTTGATCTATTTATTAATCCAAATAGAGAACTGCCAATATTTCAGACATCTCTCTTTTTAGTATAAAATAATTCCTTATTGAATTATTCTACTTGTTGATCAAGGACCTCCATTTACTGATTGAGGAGGGGAATAATTCAGTGATTCTCAACATGTGGTCTGTGACTCCCAGCATATTCTCTTGTAGAAAGATGTCATATCAGAGTTATGCACTCCTCTGTCCTTTTCCTCTGTTAGAAGTCATTCACCTCCATCCTTCATTTCTCTATATCCTCATCAGTGGTAAGTGGTTCTACTCATTCATTCAGTCAACAAATATTTTTGTGCACCCATCTGCCAATAGATCTTACAGGTATTGGAAAGACAGCAATTAATGAAAACAGAGTCCCTGCCCTTAAAAAGCTTACATTCAAATGGGGCAGGTAAAAAAGAAAGCAATGAGAAATATAAATAAAATTGTTTCAGAAAATATTACAATTATGACAAAAGGTAGACATTAATGGATATGGAAATAAAGGACTGGGTTTATTGTTGAAGTATGGTCAGGCTTTTCTGAGATGACAACTGAACACATCATTCCTTCATTTATCACTTAGCAAATTTACAACAGACTAAAGAAAAGTAGCTTCAAAGGTGAAATTGTGGCTGGGCACATTGGCTCACGCCTGTAATCCCAGCACTTTGGGAGGCTGAGGTGGGTGGATTGCTTGAGGCCAGGAGTTCAAGACCAGCCTGGCCAACATGGTGAAACCCTGTCTCTACTAACAACACAAAAATCAACCGGGCATGGTTGTGCACGCCTGTAATCCCAGCTACCCTGGAGGTCGAGGCATGAGAATCTCCTGAACCTGGGAGGAGGTTGCAGTGAGTAGAGGTGATACCACTGCACTCCAGCCTGGGTGACAGAGCAAAAAAAAAAAAAAAAAAAAAAGGGTGAAATTGTCTGACCAGGAAATACTAAACTAAAACTTATTTTAGTTTCAGGATTATAAGCAAAAGTTAATTGATCGACATTCTTATGAAAACACAAAGCAAAATAAAAGTAGAAAGTTATTCTCAAATCTATTCCATTTACTTTTTTTTTCAGAACCAAAAAAGAAATAATAAATTTAAGTGATGTGTTTGAATTATATTTTATTTCAGTTTTAAATACTAGATGTAAATTTGGTACTTTCTGGTGGTTCTTACAAAAATGATCATGCTCTAAGCTAGAAATAATTTGTTTCTGACAACACATTACAAGTTATTTGGTTACCTAATGTTATGAAAAAGGAAGAATATTTTCTTAACCTCAAGCCTACTTTTTATAAATGGGGATTCAAACTTGGGATTATGAGTTGCTGGAATGCATTACGTCGTACATGATTGTGAAATCTCTTTCTTTAATGATTTTTAAGAGGGGATAAACAACCAACTTTCTGGAATGGTTTGGCTCATTTTGCCAAAAAGCCAGGGCAAGACTGGATGACCTTTGGAGCCCTACTCAGTCTGTGATAGAATTCACTGAAAATTGAAAACTTTTTTTTTCTGAGATGCAAGGCCCGATATTATTCTGGTCCAATTTAGTTATGACCTTCAACTGGAAATGAATGATATGCATACTTGTGAATATTATTCACACTTAAATTCATTTAACACTTAAACACCTAAATTCATGAAGTATGTCATATCCTTGAGTCAATATATTACATATTAAATTCATTTAGGTCTCATGGTAAGTGATGTATCAGCTGCTAAAATGTAAATGACTGATTTTTATTGGTTGCTTACTAATGAAAAGTAAATTTTCAAAAATATAGGAATTCCTTAATATTTGCGTTTGCCATCCTAATCACTATCATGTTATTTTAATTTTAAGGGATGACTGGAAACCATACAAGCTTAGAAGACTATACTTTATTTGGGTATGCAGAGATATCCAGTCCTTCCGTTGGTTTGCAGACTTACTCTGTATGCTGCATAACAAGGTAACATTAGGGTTGTTCCTAGTTTTGCAATTTTTCAAATTAAAATAGTTATATCTTTTACATTACAAAAGCAATAAATGCTTGCCATAGATTAAACCATAGAAATTATACAGATAAGTAGCAAGGAAATAAATAAGTCTCTTAAACATAAAAACTCAGAGATAATATCTCTTAGCAATTAGGCACACATCTTTTCAGATATGGGTATTTGTGAGTATGCATGTATATCTAATATATTTTAACATAGGAACATTCATTTCTATGTTTTAACATAGGGTGTTTCACATGGAAATGTATGCATATGGCTGAAGGTGATGAGGGAAGACAATGAGGGAAATACCGGAAGGCACCTGCTGTAACATCTTCCATCCTTTGTTCTGATAGCTCTTATCCTTGATTTGCCATCTTTAATACTTCAAATCACCAGACTTTTTGGTATACGATACAAAATCTCAACAATCCCCAAATTCTGTGTTTTTTTTTTTTGCAGAGATAAAGCAGGCATCTTTTCCTATCCAACCTGTAACATTTGACCTATTTATCTTTATTCAGATTATACAAGTGACACACATATGCGTCCTTGCTACAAATATTTCAAACAATTCTGATAAAGTAAAATCCTCTTTTACTACCTTCCCTACCTAATCTGTGTAAACAGAGGTAACTCTTAAGTGTTCTATAAATCCTGTCGTACTATTTATATTGTTTATGCAAATTCCTTTATTAATTGATTACTATGTCTTGACTATTTTTTGATATTAGTGCGTATAGAGCTACCTTATTGTTTTCCCTGGTGCCAACAATTAGAGATGGTGGACCTACCTGATTCTTTTAGAGGATTTCATTGTATAGATATATCTAGTTTGCTGAACAATTCTCTAATGTTAGATACTTTTTTATTACAAAGAATGCTGAAATGGATATCATTATATATACCTCTTTCTGCATGTATTCACTCATTCAGTCATTCTATCATTCAGTGTATATTTATTTATTAACTGATTACTATCAATCTGAAACTATTCTAGGATCTGAAAAGTCATCAAGTGGCAAAATAAAACCAAGTTTCTGATCTCACGTGGTTTATATTCTAAGGGGGCAAGATAGACAACAACCAATAAATACATCGAGCATCAGGTTCTGAGATTCGGGTTAGGACAAAGGAAGGGAAAGTAGGAGTAAAGCGGCGTGAACAGTAGAGGGTGTGTTAATTTATATTGCATGTTCAGGAACACCCATCAAACAAAATGTTATAATGCCATTTGAGCAGACTTGGCTGAAGTGAATGAGCAGACTAAACACATATTATGGAGAAAAAAAATCAAGATAGAGAAACCTAACTTCGTAGGCAAGAGCTCTGAGGCAGTAGTATACTTGGTGTCCTGAAAGAAGAGAAAGGAGATCTGTGTGGATGAAGCAGAGTAAGCAAGGGAAAGAATAGTAGGAGATGAAATTAGAGAGGTGGTGTCTGTGCTTTTCTGGGAAGAAGTGGATTACATAAAGGCCTCCAAACTTTTTGCAAAATAAATAATAAATAAATAAATAAATAAAAATTAAATAAATAAAAAGATTGGTTCTGGATATGTACCTAGAAGAATTAAAAGCAGGGAATTGGACAGATGCCCATAGAAGCATTATTCACAATAGCCAAAGGATGGAAACAACCCAAATATTCATCAATAGATGATTGGATAAACAGATTATGATATACGCACACAATGTAATACTATTCAGCTCTAAAAAGGAAGGAAATTATGACATATACTATGTGGATGAACTTTGAAGACATAACGCTAAATGAAATAAGCCGGACGCAAAAGCACAACTATATTATGCTGTCACTTACAGGAGGTCCCTAGAGTAGTTTAATTTGTAAAGACAGGAAGTAGAATAGTCTCTACATATGCATCCTTGCTAAAAATATTTCAAACAATTCAGGTACAGTAAAATCCTCTCAGGTTGCCAAAGCCTTTGGGAAGGGGGAAATGAGGAGTTGTTGTTCCATATTTTTTTGTAGACTATTTATTTTTGCAGGTATATTTTGCCTCTGCATTTTTGTACAAGAGAAACCAGAGCCCATTGATGAATAAGCAGAAGGCAGAAACAGGAAAAAGCGTCTATTTGTTTTGTTTTGTATTTGCTATCATGCATAAGTTAAATCACTATTGTCTTTTTTTCTCAAGAAAATCATGTTCTTGATGAGTAAACTGGTACAATTTTGAGACTCTTAAGGAATAAAATAAGGAGTATTTCAGAAGGACTAATATTTGAGAATATTTGTATAGCATTTAGCATGCTAAATTTTGTATCTATGAAGATAGCAGAAAATTATTCCCTACCACTACCACCATCAGACCTCATTCATACCAAGAGGCCAGATTATTGTTAGAATCTGTTATATATATTTGCATGTATGTGTGTGTGTGTGTGTGTGTATTCATTTTCTTATAGATATTGGTTATGATAAGCTAGGTTATGTTAAATTCTAAATCACATATGTTAGAATAGGAGAAAATCTGAGTATACCCACAGAATTTTAATAAGTCTATTCCTTTTTCTGTCCTCCTAGTTTTGGCAAGAGAACAGACCTGACTATGTTAACATCCAGCTGTACCTCAGTCAAACAGATGGGATACAGGTATGTGGTTGATGTTATCGTAAATTAAACAAGCCTCTTGATAATAGATTTACTGTAGGAGCTGTGGTGGAAGAAAATTCCTGCAGGTGGTTTGAACAGAAGTTTCCTAGAGGAAGGCCTCCTTTGGAATATGTCCAGAAAAGTCATAGCTTGTCCTTGAAGTCAACCATATTATGCCTTCCATTTGTCCTTCTCACAGGGAGCTGGGGCAGACTCAAAAGGTCTGAGTCTACCCCTCCCCTCTTCACTATCACCTCAAGTTCTTCTAAAATTCAGACTACACGTGAACAGCCATGTGATTTCTTTTTATTGAGGGGATATTTTATGTGGAGAGAGAAGATGAGTTCATATACAATTAAGCTTATTTCTAGACAAGGGAAACTAAAAAGAATGACAACCCTCATGCATTATTTATTTACTCTTCTAGGCACTGTGCTAAGAATTTCACATATATTAGTTTATTAGTTTAAAACAGAGTCAAGCAGTAAATGATATTCCCATTTTGCAAATGATGAAACTGATATTTGAAGACAACATTGAAGAGCTGGACTGGTGTATAAATCTAGGCATGAATGCATTAACAAATTGTATTTTAGTACTTTTTGTCGTACATTTTCACAATACTTCGAATACAAAATATGAATGTTTGTCAGTTACCTCAAAACTAATCTAACCCTAATTTTTCCAGTCATATTTCTACCCTATCTGGTATGTAAAAAGTATTTCATTTTACTACTCTCACGAAGTAAGTCAATATCACTTTTCCTCCTGGTATTGCTATAATGAAGATATGAAGCATAATTTGCATTTGGTTCTCAGTTTGCCTGCCTGAGATTCACATACTTCCTCCTTTCTCTGCAATTCACTCTGACTCTTCATATTGATTTAGATCTAATGCTCTGTTAATTGCAAACAGGAGCCCATTCACAGCCATTTATTGATAAACCCCATTTTGGAGTTCTGCTGTCTTGAGCTGTCTTGTCTAGGATCATTTCCCAAATGTATGATGATAATTTGTAGTATTTTACTTATATAATGAGCCAAATATGACAACTATATTTGTGGTGCCAAAATACTTCAATGAAGTCTATGTGCTGAGCCTTTTTGAGGGTGACCAATTAGAATTCATTCTTTGTCTTACATTGCAGTTCTTTAAAGATGAAACAACTAACTGAAGTCTAAGAAAATTAGCCATTTGTCAGAATGGCATTCAAGGAGATTAGTTCTAACAATTAATTCAATTGAAAATCAAGTTTTTGTACCTTTTTACCAGAATGGATTTTGTTTGTTTGTTTGTCGAAAGGAAATGATATTTTGAAATAATTGTACGTAATAGGTTGCCATTTGATACTTACATTCTTTATATCACAGCAATTTAGTGGGAAGTCACAGCACCAGCAGAAATGATGTTAGAAAACTAGGTTACTTAACTAAATCTCGAATAATGTGGTGCTTTCTTTTTGGCAGAAGATAATTGGAGAAAAATATCATGCACTGAATTCAAGACTGTTTATTGGACGTCCTCGGTGGAAACTTTTGTTTGATGAAATAGCAAAGTATAACAGAGGGTAAGTACTATACCTCAAAAGTTTGACATGTGGCTAATAAATTAATTAAAATATTTTCAAATAATTACATGAGGTTTAAAAATGAATTGGCAATGAGTTTACAAATGACAAATTCACTGAAACACTCTTTCACTATCAACAGAGGAAGTAAGGCAGGTGTCGTCCTACATTTTTGTAATTCCAAATAATTAATGTTTGGCTTAGAAATAGTCTATAATGTATTTATGAACTAAACTTTCCTACCTGATTATAAATTTGTAAAGACCTATATTAAAAATGGGTATTCTCTCCCACAGCATATATCAGGTGATCCTAGGAAAATTTTTCAAAATCGTGTTTGCAAACAAAGAAATTTACAATTAGTTCTAACAATGAATTCATTTAAAATCACATTTTTGCACCTTTTTTACCAGAATGAATATGCTTTTGTTTGTTTGTTTTTTAAAAAAAGCTCTGCTTTGTAATATGCAGTCTTTAAACCTGGAATATTTCTAAACATATTATTTAGAAACTATAATTTTATAAATAATCTTGTTCTTATAGACTATGTGTCTATGATCTGAAGAAATTATTATAGAAGGAAAGCTTTCATTTTAGGGCACAGACCAGTCAGCCCATTTGTCTTTTGTAAATTTACCATAGTGAGAGCACTGATCTATAAGAATTCTAAGAAGATACTGAAAACTATATAACCACTCACATATTTTTAGGTTTACATCTAAACAGTTTCATCATAAGTTTAAATGGTTGTAAAAGATGTGATTTCTAACATATTGCAGGTATTGGCATTTTGTAATTAACGTAATTTCTTCAAACATATCCACTGGAATATAAATATAGCTAGATGATACCGTCATTTATTATAAAAATACATAAACTCTTCTTTTAGCAGTTGGATGTTTTACATCATTCTTTTTCTTTCATTTAAGTTGTATTTCTGTCCCATTAACCCATATAATTTTATCAAAATTCAATATATTTTTACATTTGAACTAATCATATTTTTATTGCTAACCTAATCCTAATCATACTTCTGCAACAATAATGTACATAAATTAAATATTTCATTTTAAAATTTCCTGTAATCATAAGACTCCAGTGTTAATTTTCACTTCTGGCTTATCATTACAATTACTTTATATAGTTGAACACTCCATAATTTTTAAAATATATTTTTATAAACATCAAAAGGATATATGATTATAAATGCACAGGCCAGCTTATTAAATGAATATTTTTTAAAAATCCAATTTAGGAATTCATGGATGAATATTATTTATTGAAGAAATCACTGGTTCAAGATGATCCCTATCTCTACCTTCAGAGATTTGGTTTTAGAAATTACAGAATGGAGCCTGGGAAGCAAAATATAAGAAGGAATAAAGTTACCCATGAGACTCAGATTACAGCCATGTTTAAACTTTTGTAGTATTACCCTTCCCTTGATGAAGTGGTTTTGGCATGAAGATGTAAGCATGATTTACAAAGCAGAAGTTCTTTGTAATATTCAGAGTTGAAATTTAGAAAAAAATGATCAACCCACTTTTGATTATCTTCCTCTCCCATCTTTCTCCAGTATCACCCATCTTAGATGTGATAATCTTGCCTTACTCCTCTGTCTCTTGCTATGTTTGCAAACATGTTCCTCTTTAATACCATTTACTGACTTCTGACAAGAAATTTTTTGTCGATTTTCACTGTATATTGCTGAAAACTGATGGTTTCTTTGGCTGAATTCAGAAACCAAATCTCTAAAGAGCAGATTATTTGCAGATTGAAATAGATCGACGCTGTTGATTCCTACAGTTAGTTCTCAAGAAGTCTCATTCGTTAGGCTGTTTGTGTTTTAGAGCGATTTGTGTGTGTGTGTGTGTGTGTGTGTGTGTGTGTGTGTGTATTTGGTAGTTTGTTCTTTTTCTGGAAAAAATGGAAAACTGGTTTAAGAAGAGCAAATGTGCACCATCTGCTGTTGACATTTTGTACAACACTTTGACTTTGTGTATTAGTTCTCAGGCGGGTGCCTGAAATGTGTTAAACATTTTTTTGAAGGATTTTTATGTAGCATGCTGAGGAAAAGAATGGTTCAACATTCTTAAGGTCTCTTTAACTGGACAAAGGCACTGCGTAAATGAATGGTTTCGTTTAAGATGTAGCATTTTGATTAACCTCATGCACATAAATTGCTGAAAACATATAGAGATAATAGTAGGAAAGACAGATGTATACGTTAAGCTTTTTATATATCATATGTTGGGCAGTACTTTTTTTGTATTTAATGTATATATAATTATCATACTTTAAGTTCTAGTGTACATGTGCACAACGTGCATGTTTGTTACATATGTATACATATGCCATGTTGATGTGCTGCACCCATTAACTCGTCATTTACATTAGGTATATCTCCTGCTATCCCTCCCCTCTCCCACCTCCCCACAATAGGACCTGGTGTGTGATGTTCCTCTTCCTGTGTCCAAGTGATCTC